AAAAGGAGAAATAGATTTTTATACAGATGGATCTTTAGGTAAAGGAGAAGAGAAGGAAATTATAGGAGTAGGATGAGTAGAAATAGATAAAGTAGATTATAGCTTAATTAGCATAAGAAACTTTAAAGTTATTAACTAGCCAATGTTAACTAAAGTGAAGCTATTAGATATTTGGGTAGTAATATTAGTAGTGTAATGTAATACAATAGTTAGGGTTCTCACGGATAGTGAACAAGCAATAGAAAGTGTAATGAAAGCATGCAATACTGAGCAATACAGCAAATAGATTAGAATAGATAACAGAATAATTCTTAAAAAAATTGTAGCACTTATCAAGCAAAAGAGTATAAAGCTCAAGCTAGAAAAAGTCAAAAGTAATGCTAATGACAATTGGAACAATGAAGCAGACTGACTAGCTAAAAAAGGAAGGAAATTATATATAACTCTTGACTTAAACATAGTTAAAAGCAATAACTTTAGCTATGATATAGCATAAAGGTCAAACAGAATTAAAAGCTCAGTTAAGCACTTTGTGACTAAGCTAACAAAAAGGTACAATGATGCAGAATGGACCTTCTAAAGAAAAGAGAATTTGTCTGAAAGCTCTGAGTATAACTAGAAAAAGCTATAATAAAGGATTAAAAAACAAAAGGGAATAAACTGTCTATCGATGAGAGATAGCAAAAGCCTAGTCATGCAAATTAAGTTTTTAACAAATAGCTTGCTAACACTTAGTGAGCTTAGAAAGCGTAAACTAGAGCTTTATCAAAAAGACTATTGTATTTTATGCAAGAAAGGAATATCAAAAGATTTTGATCACTTAATATAGTGTTCAGCCCTACAAGAGCCTTAGAAAGAAATTGAAAAGGCAGTGTTAGAAGGTATTAACAAGATTCAAGTAGAGAAAAACTCTAATCTACTCTCAACGTTAGAAATAAAGAAGCTATTTTTTCAAAGGATAAAGAGAGCAAATACCTAAGAAGAAAAGAGCTATTAATTAAACTAGAAAAGAAGGAAATAGCTAATGACCTTCAGGTACTAGCTCAGAACAAAGATACGATGAAAATTTGGTTGAATAGTATCTTTTATATTATGCAAAGAAGCTTTGCAGAAATAATTTAGAACTGACATTGTGAGAAAATGATCATATAGGAAAAGTAAGAAGGAATCATAACAAAACTTAAAAGAAACATAGCAAGGAAGAAAGAACCAAAAATGAGAACTCAAACAGATAATGAAAGGAAAATATTACTTGCAGAAAAAAAGAAGGAAAGAGAAAAGAAAAAAGAATGGATAGAAGGTGTAGTAGAAGGTGTAGTTAAGAAAGAAATAAAAGAAGGAGAAGGAATTTGATAGAGTTTTCTTTGATATAGTTAGACAAAATTATTCTAGCTATATAGCTAATGCAACAGGTCACACCTGAGCACTCTAGTAGCAGCTGAATGATATCAAGCTTAGGAAATTAGGTAGATTTTATAATCATATATAACTTGGCTATGGCTACAGTTAACAATTTAATAAAGTTTATGATATGACTATTAAAAGAAAAAAAAAAAAAAAAAAATTTTAGTCAAAAATAATTTTATAATTTTAGCTAGAATTATAAAAGTTTACTTAGAATTATATCTAATATATTAGCTAATCTACTCACTTATATAAAAATTAGCTAATTTTTAAACTACTAAATTAGCTTAAAATCTTTTTTATAACTTTATAAATTACTACTTTTTTAATTTGAATCAAAACAAACTAAAGAATTATCTAACTAAACCTAAGACTAAAGCTAACCTACTTCTGTAATAAAAAGCCAATTTTATCTAGTATTTGATATTAGTATGAATAGCTCTAAACTTTTTTGCTACACAAGCAACTAGTATATCTAGTAAACAGATATTTTTTATTATTAAATATACAATTAGTTTTACTTAAAATCGTATTAATCCTGAATTAACATGCATGTCATTGTGCTTGAAGAGTTGATACACAGAACTAGGCTACATATTAAAGAAAGAATAGGTTAAAGATCAAACAAATAAAACCTAAAGACCGAATATTTTAGTTTTTTTTTTTGCCTTTCTGGCTTTTTTTTTCGTTTTTTTTTTTTTTGAATTTTTTATTTATTTTTATTTTATCGTTATTACAATAAATTTATCCCAAAAACTAATTTTTTTTTCGTATAAAGCATGGATGGATTTATTGCGATTCAGGATTCGATTCTAGGATTGATTACTAATAAAGAGTCGGACGTGCAATTTATCCCTACTTGCTGGCATGCCAAAAAGCCAATAGGCATGCCCCGATTACGTGATACATCGACTCGTATGTTATTGGCTAACTAGTCAAATCATATCGGCCGATTCGTGGAATTTGTTAAACAATCTGAGATCATTTCGCCAGATTTAAAGTCAAATAAATTCAAACTTGGTCAAATGCTCTGCAAATTTGACCAGAGCTATGACAGATTGATTTTATTAAATCGGCCGATATGAAGAGTTTTTAACATCGTATAATAAGGGCATGCCCCGAACCCTAGTTGTTACACTGACTGCAGGTCATTACAATAGCGATTTCTATTGACTAGAAAAATTCAGTTTGTGACCCGGTTAATAATTTTAAAACGGGTGATAAACCGGGAGCTTAAACCTTAAGTGGGTACACACTATAATGCTTTTTAAATTTAGCGACAATAATAATGATAAGAATTATTTCAATACTTATGAATTATCCAATCACATTGAGAGAGTTGTTTAGGAACACTATAAAATCTTACTATAAAAACCGAAAAAGTTTATTGAGTAATTGTATAACAGATAATAGAATAGATTTACGTTATTGTTACAAAATGTGTAACGGAAAGGAAACTCCGTGATTTTAATATACTATATACCAATTCAGCAATTTATACAAAAATGTAATAAATGACACCATTCATGACCAATAAATGATAGTATTGCATAGAATGACTCATCAAATAATGACTTTTTGTGATACGTTTCTTTGTTTTAACCAACGGAAACTCAAACACCGATGTTTCAACTTCAAGGGGGCTTAGCACAGAACTGATCTGCGGCAAAATTACTAATAATAATAATAGTAACAGTAAAATGAGAATTTATTATAAAAAGAGACAAATTTTAGTTTTATCGTAAAATAAGTTCCCATATACACACGTTTCAAAAACAAAAAGTGATTCACATTATTTTATTAACTACCACCACTACCACTACTCCTTAAACAAAATGCAAATTTTCGTTAAAACTCTTACCGGAAAGACTATCACTCTTGAAGTCGAGTCGTCAGATACAATTGATCAAGTTAAACAAAAGATTCAAGATAAGGAAGGAATTCCCCCAGACCAGCAACGTTTGATTTTTGCTGGTAAACAATTAGAAGATGGTCGCACTTTATCTGATTATAACATCCAGAAGGAATCCACACTTCACTTAGTACTTCGACTTCGCGGTGGTATGCAAATCTTTGTAAAAA